TCGTCTCATCCACTAAATTAAATGTTAAGAAAATAATCCGTCAAAGCCAACCCTTATTCAAATATATATTAAGACTTCCTTTAACCTTCCATAAATTTATTGCATCCATCCCACTTGAAGGTGACTCATTCCAAAAGTCAACCATCCTCATAGAAAACTAAAACTGTCTTAACTGCAGATGACTCTTACCCTGCAAACATATTTTTTGTGTCTCCTAGTCCAACCATTCTCACAATTAAATACGAAAAAAAGAAAGATGATGCATTGACACTACAGTTCCCTGAACAATCCTAAACACATCAACCTGAGCCTCTCTAACTCTTCTTTCTCCAAGAAAAAACAATGAATAACCGGCTTGGAGAAAGAAGAGTTAGAGAGGGTTACTATGATGATACTAGGGATAAAAAACAATGACAACCGGTATCCCTAGTATCATCATAGTAACCCTCTCTAACTCTTCTTTCTCCAAGCCGGTTGTCATTGTTTTTTCTTGGAGAAAGAAGAGTTAGAGAGGGTTACTATGATGATACTAGGGATAAAAAAAACAATGACAACCGGTATCCCTAGTACCATCAGAGTAACCCTTTCTAACTCTTCTTTCTCCAAGAAAAAACAATGACAACCGGTATCCCTAGTACCGTCATAGTAACCCTCTCTAAACTCATTCCTATAATTCAGTGTATTTCCTAAGGAACACAATATTCCAAATAAGGCCTAGCCAGTGATTTATACAATGAAAATATAACCGACTTGCATTCAATATTTCTATAGATACAACCTAAAATCATATTTGTTCTACCTCTAACAAGAACACACTGCTTGGATGGCTTAAGAGACTAATCAACTAAAAAACCAAGATCCTTTTCTTCCATAACACTGTTAAGCTTGTTCTTATCAAAATGATATTCGTAATTCAAATTAGGATAATCCACATGCATTACTTTGAAGTCATTACAATCAAATGCTATCTACCATTTATTTACTCAGCTCGCCAAATAACGTAAACTCTTTTGGAAAAACAGTAGCATCCTCCTCACAGTCAGCAAAACCCAATATATTAATATAATTAGCAAATGTAATTTGTTGACCATTCCTTCATCTTTATCCTTGATGTAAATACAAAAAAAAAACAAAGGTCTGTGAGGAACGAAGCTGGTGTTATTTCTTCTTTCCAATGTAGGCATCCGTTGTACATAATTATCACGTGACATTATCAGGCCTTCCAAGAGGCCCCTCAGGAAAAGTAGGGACTTTAGCTGAGCAAAGTTTTTTCAGAAAGTAGGGCCTTTAGTAGAGAAAAATAAGGATAGTTTAGAACAGGATTTTGAAATGAAATCGAAGCATTAGTTAGTGTACTAGATGACCAAGAACTGACACAAAAATGCACTACTGCTGGATTTGTTCTGTAGGACAGTTTTTTTGGTGATTAGAACTAAACTTTACCTCTGTCAATTCTTTGTGTTTATCTCTCTATCCATGTTTCAAGAGGTGCAGTTTGCATCTAATATCACAAACTACTGTTTTGACAAATACTACAGAAATTGGTCATTTGGCAATGGCTGACACCAACACGATAGTTCATGACCATTGTTGTCTACACACGTTAACTACTGGTGCTGGAATTGTGTTTTTCCATATGGAATTTAATTTTTTTTTCATTACCATGAGTATATAAAACTCGTTAAAGAGGCTGTCTCAAACACCACAGCCATGGACACATATTGCACATGCAATACAACACTATAGGCACTTGATATCGAATGTAGAAGGCGTTTATTATCTATTGGTTCGTGTCATAGAGTTATGTAAAATATTGTAAACGGGTGATATTTATGACGTATGGTATGTAAATACTTAACAGCCGAGTAAGGTAAAGGTTATATAGTACTCTGTGTATAGGCTATAAGATGTAGTTTACAGTGACTGACAGTAATGTTGAAAACGAGTTGGGTATAGTGTCGCACTAGTAGCACGTTGTGACGTAGAACCCAAGGTGCCACATAATATGCTTGTAAAGAAATTATCCTCGTAGGTGTGGAGGATAAGTTAGCAAATTGGATAGAAAAGTGTCTGGATGGAAGAAAACAGAGGGTTGTTACAAATGGAGTTCAGTCAAACTGGATTAACGTTACAAATGGGGTGCCTCAGTCTTAGGACCTTTGCTCTTTTTGATTTACAT